TTCAGCTCCATGGTCTGCTCCTGACTCTGAGTCGAAGTTGGCCCATGCCAGTGCCCTTGAGAAGGTCACATCTGGCAGGTGGCATTCAAAGCAGCAGGTTCATTCTCAAACGGATGTTGAGGTTGTTAAACGTCAAGACACAGAGAAAGAATTATATTACCATGGAAGTACTACAGTCAACGATAGTGTCTACAACATGCCAGATGTCGTGGGAGGACCCGAATACAGTGATCAGGTGCTAGCGGTTCATGCTGAAAGAAATCTTGTTCTTACAGACGGGGTTCACGGGTTTTACAAGGAGTTACCAGCACGGGAGAGGGCCAGGTCCCCTTTATTCATGGAGGCAAATGAGAGAAGAACTTCTTCTAATATTACTGGGTTACAACGGCCCCATAATGTTGTTAGCTCTGGTGGATATGAGATGCAGTCACCAGCATCTTCTGAACCATCTGAGCGGCCCAAATTAAAGTTGCTACCAAGATCCAAACCATTGGAGAGTCTGGAGCAGTCCGTAGATTATAAGCAGGTTTGTGATATTGCTTTCTGTGGAGGGTTTATCTATGTGCTAGAATCTCATTTGGTTCTCTTACTGTAGGTCAACCAGCATCCAAGTAACCCTGTTCATGTTGAGAAATTGGCCGATGCATATCCCACCATAGATCCCACCAAGACTGGGTTCGTTGAACATGAAAGAAGCAATCAAGTAACTGAACGCCCAAAATTGAACTTGAAGCCTCGGTCTCAGCTTCTTGAACAATCGGACGGAAACACAGAAAATAAAAGGTATACCTTATATTTCTGCCTCCCCCTTGCATCTGTTAATTGCCACAATTCCATGGCCTGAGTCTGTCTTTGTTAATTTGGAAATATTATGAAAACATCAAATGTGCATATCAGGACCTTTTGGTTGCAATGGTTAATATTGTTAGAATATAGTTCTAATTGAGGAATGAAGTCGTAAGAGATATAAGCATTTTCTCCTTGCTGCAAAACCAACTTACCAAAAGATTCTTTATTGTGAGGGTTTATCAGAAATTGATTAGTTTACGCCTGTTGCAACCCTTCTTTATTTGGGCTTAGAGCTGGCAATGTATGCAGGTTCTGATGGGAAGAGCTAAAAGACCCATATAGGTGATACCAATTAGTTGTGATTAAGGTTTAGTTCTCTTGGATTATTTGTCTTGTTAGAAATTTGTATGCTAGTAGAAAATATAAAGAATTTCTAGTGTATGAGAACCCAAGTCTTTAAATTATTGGATTTATATGATTCTGAATGGAGCGGTATGGTCAGTAAGAATTCCGATAGCGATCCAAAGTAGCTTGAGTATTGAGGCATGGTTGTAGTTGTATTACCTAGTGATTTGCCTGTGCAAACCCTCTGTGACTTCAGCCTTTTGTTCCTGGTGCATTTCTTACTCGTTAAGTGCACTAGAAGGTTTGTCTTAACAAGTGTATAAATGAATTATGATGGACTGTTCTAATGCCTTGGGAAGTTAATTGTGGTGATCTAGAGGAAGAATAGTAGGAGTTGGTAGATTCGGTATGGGGAAATGATGAGAGCTGAGTCACAATGAATTTTTTCCTTTTGATTATTAAAGTTCTTATTATGGTGCTATGGGAAGCTCATTTTTTCAAAACTTAGTATCAGTTTCTTTTTTAGATAGCAAACTGGCTGTTGTTTTGTTTTCTTTTTCTTTTTCATGTTGGGAAGAGTAGGGGACTGGTAATTGATTCACGGATCTAACCAATAACTCACGTCTAATATAAAAATGATGATGATATTCGCGGCATCATTCGTTAGCAAATTAGAAGCTCTCTGTGAGATCTCACAGCTTATGTTTGGTCATCTGTTCTATCTTCTTTGTAATCTCCAACTTTTCAAAGCAGGTTTTATTCATATACAAACCAAGTCAGCTTTATGATGTAGAATGGATTACTCATGTTTGATCAAGTAAAATGCAAGTCATTTCCTTTATTTCTTTTGCTAGAATACATCCTTAGTGAAGAATAATTGCAAGCATTACTGTTACCAGTTCTCAAAAATTATTGCAAGCATTATTCATCCTGAATAATTCTTGATTGTTGGATCATTTTGTGATCAAGTTGCCATTTATAAAATTGATTCACTTGGTAAAGGAATGAACTATCCAAGAGCACTCATGCATCGATCAGCAGCATGCATGTGTCTTTCTTTTCTCATTATATATTGAAGTAGTATGGTGGACTGCTTTACCATGACTCTGAATCAGCAGTTAGTCTTGCTTGATGATTACCTATCTTTAAAAAGTACCTGTCTCTGTCACTGCCTGTACTTTTTCTTCTGCTCTTCTTTCCCTCCCTCGGCAGTATGTACTTCCCTTGCTTTATGATGTGACTGAGGATCTCTATTCTAGCTAAAGCTGACATTGTTTTGTGCTTATGATTTGTTGGCACAGGAAACCATTATTTGGGGGTGCTCGTCCACGTGAAATGGTAAGTTATTGATCTTATGTATGCAGAAGAAATTAATATTTGCTAAAGTATATTGTTTTTTTTTCTGTTGTTGATAGGAAACATAATTTGTTCATTTTGCACCTCAATGTTTTTGTACTTGCTTGATGTATCACCTTTAATAAAATTAAGATTGTACTTGCCCTTTTCAATTTCTCGTTCCCAAATGTTAGATGTCTCTTTTTTGTTAATTCTACTGTTCAATAATGGGTGGTTGCCGCCAGGTACTGCAGAATCGTGGGATTGATGATGTTATGCATAATCATGACCTTCAGCAACCTCATCCTAGGTACTAAATGAGTTGATTATGCAATGTCTTTCTATGACTCAGAAATTCCCTTGTTTGACAAACTGATTGATAATTGTCTGAAGGGGCAAACAACATGCTGGCAAAGCAGAGGCAGCTATGCATGCGACCAGACATAATGAGAAAACAGAGAGTATTCCGATTGACCATAGGATGGCGAAGAGCGCAGATAGGCGAGATCACAGGATAGATGTCGAGAAAGGAGATGGGCAGAGGAGGAATTGGAGAAAGGAGAACTGGAGGAACAACAAGGAGACTGAAAGGCACCACCACCACCATCACCCGCAGCAACATGTACAGGAAAGGCCGCCGTCACCAGAAACGTGGCGCAAACCTGTTGAATCTCCAAGACCTGCTTCTGCTGATGCTCCTGGTATGAGGTATGGAAAAGCAGCCTCTGCAGTTGAGCTGGCTGCAGCCTTTTCAAAATCGGTCTCCGATCCAGCAACTGCAACTGATCGTTTTTCTAGTCAGAAAAGCCTTCCTAATCGAGGTCAAATCCCTTTTTCTCGATTGACAGGCCCTCAGCAGAGGCCTCAGATTAATGGGTACTAAGCTCCCAAAGATTAGCGAATGAAAAATGTCTTATCATTGCTAATTTGCTTAATGGGCTGCAACAGAAGTGTTGCTTGCAGCATGAATACCAAGATGTGGGTAGTCATTGTTACCCGTGCTATAGGCTAGCAACAAATTTAATGATCTTGCTGCTGAAAATCTAGAATCTGATTCTTCACCTTTTAGACCTAACACCTTCAACCTTGAGAAACTCTTCCTTTTCTTTTACATCTTTTTAGTTTGATAATAATCATCGGGGATGATGTTTGTTCCCTTTATAGATGATTTATTTCTCAGAAAGAATTTCTGATTTGAAGCCTGATGGGCATAAACAAATGATTGTATACTTTTGGAGGTGTTCGACATTTCATGGTGAATGCCGTCTGTTATCTGATTGATGGTCTAGTTTAGTTTAGAAACAGAATCGTTCTATGCATCGAGCCTAGAAACAGAATCGTCTGTTATTTGTCTTGCAGTATTACAATCTTGCGATGCCCCTTGGCTGAATTTGGTTTAAAGAATATGAAATTAGCTACTGTATTACTTTGCCTTTTAGGTTCTTTTGCTTACAAATTCTCAGTGTACAGACAGTATGTACTTGTTCTTTTCAGTGCATTAGGGAACATTTTTTGGTTTTCGATTAGTGGCTGATCTTGCATTATTTACGTAATGGCGTCTCTGGTTTTAACCAGGTAAATACAGTACACTAGTAACACTTGCTCTGCTGATTGATTCTATTATAAACTGAAGGACAATTAAACATATTTCATCCATTGATGTATTTATCATGTGGTTCCACACGAACATCTCAAGATGAAAAGAGTAACTAGAAAAGGAGATCAAAACACAAAGGTTACTGCCGACAGTGCCATAATACTTGTCTGAAACTGAGCTTGTACCCTACAACAAAATTACATGTAAAATATTAATCAATGATCTTGAATAATAACCATGGTACATTTCAATAACCTTTACACGTAGTTTATACCTTGCCTCTGATTTCAAGCAGGGACGGAGCTAGAGGTCAAAAAGTTACATAGCTCTTGATCTTTTATCATTTTTTTCAAAAAAAGTTTAGCTCTGCTACTGCTGATTTCGCTTGATTATTCATGTTAGCATAAAATAAATGCGTACCTGAGATCATTGTAATAACAAGCTTGAGAATTTGTTTTTGGTGGTCTATAACTTTTCGTCTTCTTGGTGCTGGCTTTGATCCCTTCTTGTGCTTTGATGGTATCATTTTCAGAAATGGTGTATAGAGATGGCTGCCACAATCCCTTTGATGATGAATTTCTACGAGTCAATTTTTGAGCCCTGCAAGCATTATTTTCCTCTAGGTATGTTACTTGAACAAGAGAACATGACTCTATTTTGGGACTATTATTATTTGTATCACTAACACAGCCACTATAACAAGAAAGAAAATCAGCTAAGAACTTCATACTTCTTACAACTCAAATTTCTAGTCCATGCTTACAACAATTTATTAGTAGAAAACTATTAAGGTCAATTTAGTCATTTCAGGGAGGCTGCACAAGCTTTAGGTGATGATAGTGAAATGACACCTTTTTAGTTATTTAGTAATAGATGGGTGATGAATAATTGGTGTATAAAATAAAGAGATATGGTGGATTGCATTTAATGGATAAAGATTATCAAAATCTAAATGCATGTCAAATGCGTGAAGCTATTATTTTTCTTTTTTTCCCTTAATATATAAATGATATGGATATCTATTAGAGTATCTATATCTATTAATTAATATCATAATAATTAAATAACTATGTTAATCATGACTTAGATAATTACCTATTTTCTCTCTTCTCTGACCACAATGTATATATATACTTATTTAGCACATCTACTCCTTTTTGAGCTCAAAGGTTAAGGAAAATGATGGAATCTTTTATCTTCTCTGATGTCAAGATTCAGAAAGAGTTGGTGAATAAATTTTTGTTTAATCAATGTTTTATAGAGTTATTATTAAATTAGTATCTAATTGGGCATAGTGGACAAGCCAGCTTTAACATTTAATACTTAAAAATGAGATTGTAATTGCAAATTGCAACGAGATTCAGATCTTGTAAAATCTAATATTGATAAAAAGTTTCTACCTTTTGTTGTAATTTTGCCTGCTTTAAAAAAAGTGTACATGCTATTCCCCCCTCAATATTTGCCTTTGTCACCCGTGTTCCTTTTTTGACACTTTTTTTCTTTTTCCAGTTTCTTGGATGTCCTCGAGTATAGCCACACTTTTGCAGTTGTTAAACTTTTTGGACATAATCCTAAATATTTAAACTTTACTGGCTCGATTAGTTATATTTTCATTTGATATTTAATTAAGAGTGGAGAAATCTCATTCATCTAGACAGTTTTATATAGTACTGTAGATATAAGAGAAGACATGAATTTCACTAAATTAAACTTTTAAAAAAATATGGTATTATGTTTCTGTAAAAAGAACCTAGCTAATCGAACTCCTTTTTCCAAATTAATTAGAAGTTTCACACTAGCTATCGATCTGTACGAAACACTAATATTTGGAATTTGTAGTATTCCCCTGAAAGTGAAACAAGTTCTGTTCGTTATAGTGGGATCTAGTAGTTTGCAATAAAGGAACTTAATTATCCCAAAGTCAGCTTAATCCCACTATCCAAAATTGACGGCAAAAAGTAGAAAAAATCATCAACAACTACTGTAAAATTCTTGAGAATTTTAACTTACATCCTCGTTTGAAAAACAATAACAATATTGGAAGTATGAAAGACTTTGATAATTCAATGTTGATTTAAAAAAAAAAGTAAAGTATGAAGAAGATGAGGCAAGTCTCGCTTCAATAGACAAGCATGAAACTTCCAGTTACTTTTAATTTTTTTAAAAATAAAATTTAATTAAAGAAAAAATTATTTTCTAACTTCCCAAATAGTAATAATCATTTTTGGATGCTTCCAATTCCTGTAATTTTTTATGCTGACCAGCCATTGACATAGTAGCAAAAGTTCACAAATGTCGAGAAACCTGCTCAAATAAACTAGTAGTTTTAAAACTGGAAACTTCTTTTATCTCTCAGCATTTTGTTTGTTACTTTGAATATCATTCTACAAGTTTAGACATCCCACAGTAATTGATGCTTTCTTTTAACATTCATTTCCCTGTCTTTTAGCTCTTGGAACCTTCTTTTCATTATGCAAAATTTCTGTCTTCTTGAGGTTGATGTCAATGGACGAGAAATATTCTTGGTGGACAAGGTAACATACATTTTACTATTCTCAATTGTTTCCATTTCCCCTTCCAGAAAAATCTTAACTGACCATCTCATTTTATATATGTTTTGTGTTCTGCAGACTATTCTTGCATCTTTCTCTGGGAGATTAAGAAAACTATTCAGTAAGTTGACAGGGAAAACTACAAGGTTGAAATTAATTTTCGACAAATTTCCAGGAGGTGCTGAGTGTTTTGAACACATTGTTAAGTTTTGCTATAATGGTGGTACCATAAAGATAACTCCTTTTAACATGTTTCAACTACATTGTGCTGCCAATTACCTTGAAATGAATCAACAAATGCAGCAGGGGAGACCAAGTTTGGTTGAGCAAACTATTTCTTTTTTCGAAAAGATTCATTACATGACATGGTCTGAGCTGATTATTGGTCTGAAAAAATGCCAAGAATTGATCTTTTTCATGCCATCTTCCTCTTTACTACAACAGTTCATGGATTGTGTGGTAGGAAGGCTTGAACTTCATTACATTTCTAGTCCATGTGCATCTTCTACCGACAATTCGTCCATGCAGTTTTCAGGTGACATTAGTACAGAAAGCAGGGGAATTTACCCTTGTCAAGCAACCTGGTGGTTTGCACATCTTGGATTCTTGAAACTTAATATGTTCAAGATGATTATAGACACAATGATTTCTAAGAAATTGGATCATCATGTGATATCTTCATTCCTGTTTTATTACAAAAGAATGAAATGTCTAAATGCTTCATCAGTTCAGAAATGCAGAATCATTGAGACAGTTATCAAATTCCTTTATTCTCTTGATAGCAACTTCGTCTCTATTAGAGGTCTATTCGACATTCTTCAGGCGTCTTTTACCTTAAAAATGAGCAAATGTTCAATAGAGAAATTAGAACATTTAATTGGCTCCCAGCTAGATAGAGCTAAATTGGATGATTTGCTTGTTCCTTCTCCAGCTGGTGAAAAAATTGCTTACAATATCAATCTAATTCTTAGGTTGGTGGACATATTCCTCTCCACTAACCGTGAAAAAATATTAATGTATCAAGTGAAGAAAGTTGCTGAGTTAATTGATGTGTATACCATAGAAGTGGCCCCTGATCCTCGTCTTAAACCTTCAAAGTTCTTGGCATTGGCCATGGCTATGCCGGATATTGCAAGAGAATCATATGACAACATTTATATTGCCATAGATATGTACCTCAAGGTAACATAAAAAGTGCTTTTAAATGAATATGTTTGTGTAAATATTTTTTACAAATATGATGACATAGAAGTTAAGCTCTTGATTTTATATATAACAGGTACATATTAATGTTTTATGTGAAGAAGAAAAGATAAAGATATGTTGTGTGCTGAACTATGAGAAGCTCTCTGAAGAAACTCAGAAGGAAGCAGCTCAAAATGAAAACTTTCCAGCTTGTGCAGTAGTCACACTGCAGAACAGGCTCAAATATTCAGACACGAGGACTTCAAATTTTTCTTAAATATTTGGTGATCATATGAATCAATGTAGTCTTTCAAAATCAAGCAGTGTAATGTATATATTAGTCTTTAACAATATATGTAGGGTGTTTCTTTAATTACTTCTTTCTTCTCAATTTATGTTAAGCATCATTTTATCAATGTTAAAATAAAAAGTTCAAAAGTAAATTGATTTTAATAAGTAAATTAATTCTTTTTTAACCGACTTAATAAATTGGGATGGAGAGAATAGTAATCTCCATAACCCATACTAATATCCAAACACATTTCTAGAGGGAAAATCACTATATAAAAAATGATTATTAGCAGTAAATAATTTTTAATTATCGCTAAATATATATTTTAGCGGCAATTAACACTCTTTGCATATATTCCTAACTCGTTTAGCGACATTGGTTCTAATGACACTTAACTAATGTCAACAAAGATTTTAATACTTTTTATTAATATCAGTATCTATTGCTGCTAAAAGTTATTTTTGTGATAGTGAATAGAGCGGAAAAGTGTTGTTACGAAGCTTTTGTTTGACAGTAAGGACTCCTTACTAGTACAGCGGAGTAACTAAAAAATTATTATTTTTCTACACTTACGTATATTTTGATTTGAGAAAAAAATATATAGTAGTATTTTACTCACAAAAATTAAGAAGTTTCTAATAATTTAGTGGATATGTTTCCAACCATCCGTTTTTTTACTAAGTTGATTCGGAGGAAACTGAGTGGACAATTATAAATATAAATTTCTCTTTGATTCTACGAGTGATAGAAAGAAGTATATATAGTAGTAGTTATTTAAGTATAAGATTTTTGTCTTTTGTATTTGTCTTTGTCTATTCTTGGAGCTAGAGAAGTTTGATTAATATATTTGATGGATGTTTCTAAAGAATAATTGCACAGAGTAGCGAGCCAAGACTTTTTCTAATACAGAACCTCCCAGCGACTAATGCGGCTTGTTACAAGCACTACAATTGTGGGGCTCGCTAACACTATGCTTTCAATATTGTTAAGTATGTTACTTAGGTGTTACACTTTCTACGTCTATGGAAAGTTCCATTTTTATAATTTGTGCTATAAATTTCCCTTGAACGACATATATATATATATATATATATCGACAACAGCGAAGAAACAATTAAATTTATAACTTTGGCTATTGACCTAGACAACGTCACGTAGGAGGGATCTGAGCAATAGAAACACCGAGGCTATGTTTTCCTTCCTGGGCTGAAATTACTAAGTGGTAAAAAAATTGCACGAAGTTTAATTTCTTCATAATTAACAAGTCATGAAGAAAAAATGTCACCAGAACTCTTGTTCATCTTCCCATCGTAGTTGTAACATTATACAGATGATCATTCAAGAAAAGTTGGTTGTAAGCTATGGCCACCGATTTATTTTATTAGGAGTTCAACGACTCGACATTAATTTTCTAATAAAGAAACGGTCGTTTAGTGTGTTGCACTTAATTTGAATCAACATACAATTTAAAAAATAAATAAAGATTTTTGAAATATATAGTATTAAGCATGTCATAGCATAGGAATATTTGAAACATGCAATCGTAAATATATTGTACTTAAAAAGTTTCTCAAGGATAAAATTGAACCATGTCATACAGGTTTCTGCATATAAAAAAAAATCTAAAACATTGAAGTGTCACATTGTTGGAACTAAGAGCTTCTTCGAGTCAAGAGGCTAACAAAACAAGTTGCTTTGTTACGTCAAAGAAGCAAATACAAACATGTAATAGAATGATTGGCACCCTAAAGGGTTTCGATCTTTAAGATTCTTTTTTAATCAAAATGAAAGAAGTGGTTATATTTTCAATAGGACATGTCTTGTTGGAGAAAGGAGGTGAAAAGGGAACTTCAGAAATACAACACAAACATCCTTGAAATTGATCAAAAAATTCATCTTAGGCTTAGGAAGTTTCCAACACAAACATCTTTGATATTTGCGATTCTCTTTTTGTGCGCTTCCCAGTCTATCGTAGTCCGTGTGCATTTATGAGTCAATAAAGTGAAAAATTAAGCCTTTTGGTGTCATCAAAAATCAAGTGACACTGGTAAATTTAAAAGACAGCCATAATTTGAGATTTCAAATGAATATATATATTTATTATTTGCACGAATACAGTTAGGTGTGAAAATTGTTTACATGTAGATACAATTCATTAAGCACGTGATTGCAATATATTTCTCTATTGTATGTGCACGAATACGATGTATTCCACTACAAAGATACTATAGTCACGCATATACATTTATTATGCGGATATAGTAATTATATTTTACTACATTATTATGTGTATGAATAAGTAATTTTGAGGTCAAAATGCTTCTGCATTTATTAATTAATCTAAATCTCGCTTTATCCTATTAAAATCAGACTACATATACATAAATTTGAACGGAATAATCCAAATATCTTATGACAAACATGATAATTTAGTAATTATTAGAAAAACGTATTATAATCTTTGAAGTTCGCATCGTCTTTGCAATCCTTGTAGAAATTGTCTGACCAAATTCCTTCTAGTATTATGTAGTATATTTTTTCACAATGAGAAGTGGAAAAGGAGAAAGAAAAAAAAAAGATTCGGGTTTTGCAAATGACTGGGCCAAGGCCCTTAGAATAAATTGGGCCAGATGTAACAGTGCCCAAAATAGAGTGATAAATTCACGAGAAGTTTGGTCCAAGTTTTTATATGCCAATTTAAGGTTTTCAGATAATTATGTGCAACGATGTTGTCATAGGCTGGTTCCTATGCATATTCATCAAAATATCGTAAAAATTAAGATAATGTAAGATCTCAATGTGTGGGAGTAAGATTTCTATCATTCCATCGTTATTATATATAACTAATTATACTCGGTTTTTCTTTCTATATAAAAAACAAGAGTTTTTCTTTCTTATATGGTTTATAGGAAATAGTGTAATGTGTATATAAAAGAGAGGTTAGTGTTATGGGAAAAACTTTTATTTAAATTCTAACTCATATCTAAAAATAATTTGTAAGCTTCATGTTCAATATCTAATTCATATTATTACAGTATTATAATTTTGTTAGATTATTGTATCTTGAAAATATGTCAAGATAATATATTGTTACCATTACATACATATTGTAATGTATAATTTTCGTCATATTTTCAGAGTTATCTCTCTCATATATATGTGTATATATATATATATATATATTTATATATGCTTTGGTTTAATAGCCTTAACCATTAAAGTTTGTCTAAAATTATTCTTTATCTAGTTTTTTTTACTATTTAACACTTTATTAAATAGAATTTAGAACCGTAAGAATTCAATTAGAAAACTATGACAAATAAAAACTATGACAAATAATATTATTTTTTTTAAAACATTAATACTTTGAAATGAATTAAGCTTGACAGCATGCACACTAATATTTGAGAATTAAAAGACAAAAGATATCAACATAGAAATTAAAGGATAGCCATTTCTTCTTTGGTATTAAAACAAGTATAAATTATAGGAACCACATATTATAAATACAAAATAACCATTTATCCCTTTAAGAATTGAAATTACAAAAAATCTCTTAAAAAGCAAAGAAGCGGGATACATCACTCTGGCACGGGATACATAAGAATT